CTTCGTGTGGCACTGAGGTTAATGGAACTTCTGATTCCTGGCATCGCCTCTGAGGAATGATGAAGTGATTTGCAAGATATCATCCTATTTTCTGGAAGTGAGATCCTTTTTTTCTAACTCTAATGTGTGCATTAATCTTTTGCTTATCTCTTCAACTCACTGGTAAGAAAGGAGGAATCAGGATTTTTGATCATGAATCAAAGGAACTATGTATGGTAAAGAAATTCTCAGATCACACTAGCTTGTAATTTATATGAAGATGCTAAAGACACCTGCATATATATTCAAATATATATGTGCCAGCTACTTCCACCGATACTGGTGTTTAGGGAAACCTGAGTATGACATAATACATCACAGGTAACTGAGACTTCCTAAATCTTGTCTTTATCCAAAGAACCAGCATTTTGGATACACACAGAATTTGAGGTATTAAAAAAGACTGAACAGTGGAAGCACCTAATTAAATGCACAGAAAGATCAGTCTAGTTTTTGGATGTCTTATCTGTAGCACTCTGCCACAGCTGTGCTAAGAAAAGCTTCAGGTACAGAATTTGTAGTGATGGTTGCATAACCTTGTGATTGTACTAAAAATCACTGAGTCAAATACTTTGAAAGGGTGAGGAACCATGTTGGACATGACCAGGACTCTCCTTACAGCCTCCCTCCAACTACACCCAAGTCTGTTCCTATTTCCCCCACACTATCCTCTGAGATAAAGCCCAAGGCAGAGGGAAGAGTATCAGGGACCTAGGAGGAGATCTCCTCACCCTATGTTTTGCTTCCCTTCCCATATTCCTTTGGTTGGTGGAAGGGCTTTAATTTGCTTCCTCTTCTGGTGAAAATCGCCTCTGCATTTTGTTCTGAGCCTCTCTAACATGGACTTTAACTTCCCCCTTTGCTGAAGTCCAGAATGGTGGAGAGAGTAGAAAACCTGGCTCCCATTAAGGAAGCAATTAAAAATAGCTCTTACACCCCCCCAGTGGTTATCAGTCTTGTTTACATCTTTCTTCCTTCCCACCAGGGAAAAATAAATGTTCACCATGAAATCTAAAAGAATTAATATTTTGGTTGGTTGGTCTTGCCCTTTTTTACCCCCCAATATTTGTTTCTAAAATTCCCTAATAATGAACATAATAAACTATCATTCCACTAATGAGGATGGCCAAACATAAAATTTTAATTACCTCTTAACAACTTGCAAACCATCTTTTGAGGTATAGCCACAATTTGTAACGTGTATAATAAAGGAAAGCATAAAGCTAAAAAAACCTCTGTGATGAGAGAAACTTCATAAAGGTAAAAACCAGTGGTTTTGCACCCTGGTTAAAATTCTCTGGTAAGGACAGTATGTTCAACTATGCATTTCTATACGTTCCACACAAAGAAAGGGGCACAACGTGAGATCATCCATATAAAAGCACTTTGTGCAATAGAGATGAAAAATACATGAAATATGAGTATTAATTATTAAGTAACC